TCTTCTTCTGACAAATGGTATTACACTTTATGGGGTTATTGAGTTCCCTAAGTCTACATTCATGATCCAGTATTCTTCTTTCCCTCTTCTTTTCAGCTTCATTATTTTCCATAATTTTATCTTCTATATCATTTATTCATTCCTCTGTTTCTTCCATCCTTGTGGTCATTACATTCACTCGGTTTTGTACCTTGATTATACTGGGGTCTTCTATTGCTTTTCTCAAGCCTAGTTAGTATCTTTATGACTGTTGGTTTAAATTCTGGCTCAGGCATATTACTTATATGTGTTTTGATTCGATCCCTGGCTATGACCTCATTTGTTCTTTATTTTGGGGTGAATTCCTCCACCTTGGTATTGTATCTGGGTCTCTGTCTTCTGTGTGTTAGGAAAACCTATTATATTTCCTGCTCCTGAGAGTAATGTCTATATTAAGAAGAAGTCCTATACTGTCCGCTTCAGGAAGTGTTTCTGGTGGATACTGTGTGCACTCCACTATTGTGTTTTGGCTGCACTTTCCCTCTGGTCAGTCCTCTGCACAGTTTCTCTTTGCCTGCATGAGAATTGTCTGGACCTTGTCCGTTGTGTGGCAAGTTTTAACGAAGTGTGCTTTGGTCTGCTTATTACAAAAAGGTAGATCCTATTTCCCCCAGAGCTGAAGCTTTTAGCATTCTACGATCAGATTTGGTGGACGCAGGGGTTTGTAAATATCTTCTGGGGTTGGGGCCCGCTGCTGCTCTCTCAGGCCCTAGTTCACAAGCACGTGTGGAGAGCAGGGGAATGAGGCTTGGTGTAAATAGTTCAAGCCTCCATGCTACTCACTGAAGGCCATCCATACTAATGGGCAGGAGTAAAAATGGCATCAGCTGGCTCTCTCCTCCCAGAGAGGAGAGTTCATGCCCGCTACTCTTCAGGAAGCCCTCAAAGAAGAGTGAACAATCTCCTCTAATTTGCTGCAGACATCCATCAGATCCCTGCCTTCACCCTATGTCCAAGCCATCTGCCCACCCAGCAGTGCAGTGCTCCTGTGTTTTACATCAGGCATGCCAGATGTGTTTCATATCTCCAAATCTTAGGGACAGGGCACAGCACAGACCTGTGTTGATCCTCTGAGGGAGGGTCTTGCTGCACTGTGGCTCGTGCCCATTTGCCCCAGAAGGGCAATCACATGAACGCAAAGGGGCTTGGAGTGTATGGTAAAGTGAAGCAAAAACCTGGCATCCAATTAGCTGCCCTCAGCAGGTGTCTCTGATTGTATGCTAATAAATGGGGCAGTTCAATGGCACCCACTAGCTCTGTGGTGCCTGGAGAGGCAGTGCCACCTCTCCCAAATGCACTCCAGGAAGGGGAACTGTCTCTCCCAGTGCGACTCAAGGGATCCTGAGACCATTCTGTTCACTTCTGGTCCCTCTGCCCTCCTTATCCACAGAAGCACCACTATGCCCACCAGGCTCCACCCAGCAATGGCAGAGACTTCTAAAACTTTAGTCTTTGAGCTCTGTGGCTTGTAAAAACTTGCAATCATCAGCCCCTTTCGCTTTGCCTGCCAACGGTTTTAGGGAAGTACTTTTCTTGTGCAATGCCATGCCCTCTGTTCTTTCTGTCCCTCTCTCTCCCTCCCTCTCTCTCTTAGTCTCTCCCTCTCCCTCCCTCCCTCATCAGGGATCCCTCCCCTCTGCAGCACTGGTGATTCTTTTCTCCCCCAAATCACATATCTTCTCCCTTCCACAATGTGGCCTCTTTTCTCCTTCTAGTTGTACAGTTTGTTCTCTCAGTCCTCAGATCAATTTCATGGGTATTCAGAATGATTTAATATTTTTCTAGCTGTGTTTGAGGGATAAGGCAAGCATAGGGTCCTCCTACTACTCTGCTGTCTTAACTCCTCCTCCAATATTCTCAAAATCTGACAAAGGACTTGTAATAAGAATATATAATGAACTACAATTAAATAATGTTTTGGAAGTCAATCTAATTGGGTGACTGGATGGCTCAGTCAGTTAAGTGTTTGACTTTAGCTCAGGTCACGATCTCAGGATTCATGGGTTTGAGCCCTGCATTGGGCTCTCTGCTGTCAGTGTAGAGACTGCTTCAGATCCTCTGTCTCCCTCCCTCTCTGCTCCTTCCCTACTTGGGCGCTCTCTCTTTCAAAAATAAATGGACATTAATAAAAAGTCAATCCAATTAAAAATAAGACTTAACCAAACATTCACAAAAGATAAAAGAATTGCCAATAAGCCAATAAAATTCTCAACATTACTAGTCATGGAGGAATAGAAATTTAATTCACCATAAGATAATTAGCTAAAATTAGAAGACTGAAACACGGGTCATTACCACAGATTTAGAATAACCAGAACTCTCATATTGTGTGTAGGAATATAAAACAGTACAATCCACTTTGAGAAGAAATATCGAAGTCTCTTACAAAATTAAACACACCATTATTTTGGAGTTTCTAACAAGACAAAGAGGCAAATAAAATGAAACAAAAGGCATTCCGATTGGAAAGGAAGAAGTAACGGCATGACCCTGTATATAGACAATCCTCAAGAACCCATAAGAAACTGAAGAGCTAATGAAGGAGCTCAGCAAGGTTGTAAGATACAAGGTAAAGAAACAAAAATACATTTTATTTCTATATACTAGCAATGAATAATGCAAAAATGAAATTAAGGAAATAATTCCACTTACCATAGTATCTCACAATAATTTAAAATACCAAAGACATACACTATACAACACTGTTAAAAGAGGTTAAAGAAAATCTAAATAAATAAAAACATCGTATTAATGAACTGGGAGACAAAATTGTTAACGTTGCAATATCCAAAACCAGATTTATAATCTATTGTATGATTTGCAATCATTTAGGGGACTCACACCACACAGCACAGTAATCAAGATAGTGTGGTACTGGCATAGGACAAACATACATACCAATGGAACAGAATTGAGAATACAGAAAATAAACCTTCACAGTTATGGTCAGTTCATTTTTGACAAAGGTGCCAAGACAATTCAATGGGGAAAGAATATTCTTTTTAACAAGTGGTGCTGTGACAACTCAATATCCACATGTAAAAGAATGAAGCCCTACCTCAAATCATATACAAAAATTAACTCAGAATGAACCATAGAGCTAAATTTAGGAGGTAAAACTCCTAGAAAAAACCAAAGCAATCAATCTTTGTGACCTCAGATTGGACAACTGATTCTTACACACGACATCAAATGATGATGAATGAAGAAAAATTTCAGAATGATACCTGTAGCCTGACCCCTTTGAAATAAAGCTTCAAAATATTCAACAGCAAAGTAATTATTATGAATGGACACACACATATGTAGAATAAATACACAAACACTTAGCATAATCAATTTCCAAAGAGTGGTTACTTTTAGAGAGGTGAGGATTGGAGGGGAGCAATACAAAAAGATAATTAAGGGTAATCTTTAATTTCTGGAGAACAAACTCAAACAGAGAAAGTATAATGTTAATATTCAATAAAAGGAGTACAGCTATACTCATGTACTTTAATGAATATTTGAAATACTTTACAATTTGACAAATTATGTTTTTAAAAGTCGAGACATCCTTAGTATGATCATTAATTTCCAGTACAACAGAGAGTAAAAATTAAGGTAAATTAAACTAATTGTTCCAAAACTATACTAATCTCAAGGAACATTCTGGAAATTGCTTTGGGAATAAACACCATTATTAGATCCTTTGTCATTGCCTTTATTCAAAACGGAGCACAAAGTACACGCCCCTAGAATGATTACTGGAATTTTCCACTTGTTTGTATTCTATACAGATAGTTGTGGCTTATGTTTATTTTAGTAAATTCTTTTTTCTCTCTCTACTCCTAAATTTGTTTTCATCCAATTTTCCCAAGCTAAATATCTTCCTTTTGTTTTTTTCCTTTCCCTAGATTTGTATTTCCTTTCCTAAGCAACAATAAAACATTATTTTCTTTTCCATTTGCTCATAAATCAAACAGTACATTTCCTTGTTTGGTTTTTCACTTTCATCTACATGTTTGGTTTGCTTACATTTTTTTTTCTGCATTATGCACTTTTCCCAAGTAATTTTCCCAATGCACAAGCTTCCAGGTGTTAACAAGCTACTTTTTTATAGGGAGAAGGCTTGCTCATTTAGGCCTATCGGGAAGATGTGTATGCAGATGGAGATTTAACAATAACCACTGTTGATTTAAAAGGGTACCAATCCCTCCACCCATGTTCCTCTGAAGTGGCCAATAGACCCTGAGGGCTGTGGGGAAGAAGGCTGCAAAGCTGCTGCCATTTTTAGAGTCAGGTGAATGCCATAGGCACTGGGCCTTCTCTTCCTGGAGCTCGCTCAGTGCTAAAGAGTCCAGACGAACACATGGCTCAAGACACAGGGGACAAGAAAGAGGAGCCTCCTGTCATCTTTTCTTCCCAGCCAACAATAGTTGTCATTTACTGAGACCTCTACAGCCAAACAGTCTTCTAGGCACTCAGTGCCATTTAATTTAACCCCTAATTCCCCATGAGAGAGGGGAATTATCATCTCTACAGACAGGGCACTGGGTAGAGAAGTCAAGCAATATAAGCAAGGTCACATAGCTTAGTGACCTGGCTGGTAGAGCCAAGATTCACATCCACCTGTGGCTCATGGCAAAAGCCCTGACGCTTGCTACACATAGCTTCTTCCCTTTCTGACTGCTGCAGGGTGTGAGCAGTCCAAGTTTTTAGTGAGAGTTGTCCTCCCTCCCAACCCACCACGCAACCTACCTCCTGTATTTATACTCAAGACGGGGCAGTGTTTAAATCCTCAAGCAAACAATTTGATTCCTCAAGTATGACATTATGAAAAGTCAGCAGTTTCACAAAGACATATATACACAGTCTGTATGCATGTACAGGTGTGTTTGGAGGGGCAAGGATGGCTACGTGCTGTAATACTGAAAGAGCCCCTCCAGGAACAAAGCCCCAGCTGAGTAACGGAGGCATACCTGAATAGGATCCTGCGTCAGTCTCATGGGCCCAATGCGTACCTCCGCAGAAGAAACCTGCTAAATAAAGGACAAAACATGAGATGTGTCGAGGCAAACTACCAGGAGTGACGAATTCTTCCTTCCTCAGAGTATTACATTATGCCACTTTATAGACCCTAACTGTAAGGATTCAGTTTACTGACATGGAGAAAGTAAAACATCATACACAGCATAATCCTGGTTTTGTGTAAGAATATATACATTTATACGTGCTGAAAATGTCTTGGAGGGATAGCATCAAATATGAAGTAGTGGATTTCAGGTTGTTTTTAAGTATGGGTTTTTATAATAAACAAGTACCGTTTTATGGGAGAAAAACATTATTTTCTGAGCACCTACTATGTGCTCGGCACCATGCTAGACAATTATTATTCTGAAATCTTGAGTACAAGTTTTTCTTAAATGTGAGAACTACAACATCTCTATGGTTTTAAGATCTGTTCCTTTATTTAGATCTTCATTTCCTTATCTTCATTTTATATGAGGAATAAACAGCTTACTCTTGCCCATGTTTACCATGAATAAACTCCTTTCAATTGAACCTCTTCAAATCAACTAAGGAACCCCATAGCATGCCAAGAGGCAAACCATGATTCACTCCAGGAATGAGCTTAGGTGTTCAGCGGCCAAAGCCATCTCACTGCTTCAGCTGTAAGCATAGAGCAAATATTTGTCTTTAATTACTGTGCTTGGATTTCTAAGAGGGATTTTTCTCTAGATTACTGGACCAAGGGTCTTGGCCTCATGTCTATGGATCCAATTTTGTTTTTCTCCAAGAAGATGTAGTCATTGTGCCACCACTTGGAAGTTTATCCTGCAGTCTACACACTAGTTCGGTCCCTGTCAATCCTATGGAACACCTTCAGCAAGCATAAAAATCCACAGGGTGGGAAATAACTCAGTAATAAACCAAGGACCAAGATGAGGCTTTATCAGTTAATAACAGCAGAGCTCTCATTATGCTATAATTTTGAAAACTAAAAGTTTCCCTTTCTCCTTTCTTCCTTTTCCTCCATGCTTGATTCCTGGTGGGCATGGTCTGTATCTTCTCCAAAACATGACTGAACTGTTCACACTTTTCTCTTTAAAGTTGATCCCTCAACCCTAGCATCATTGCATGAAGCAAAGCTGCCGGGGGGCTTTGGTCTTTTACCAAACTAGCCAGCATAAAACTCAAAGCCCTCAGATGACAGCTCAAGTGAGGTTCTTGGTCCTCTGTAGTAGGTTCTGCTTGGAAAGGCAGCTTCTGGACAGTGGGTCCATCCAATAGGCCTGGCACAACTCATAACAGCCCAGGGCCTCAAGTCCCGGAACCCATGGACCAGTAACAAGTTCCTTCCATGTTTTGCTGCTACCTTCAGGTCAAAGAACATGAGACCTCATGCTTCTTCCCTTTAGACAAAACAATATACTGCAAAGTGTTACTGCTGGTAGCAGACCCAGCATATATGCACAGCCCCAAGAATGACTCCATTGAAAAAGGACCAGCACCAGACCTCCTGTGTCACTAGGACTCTGCATCCCACCGGCCACCCAGCTCTACCCTAAAAACAGTTTTTAGGGGCCACCGGGATGGCTCAGTTGGTTAAGCGACCAACTTTGGCTCAGGTCACAATCTGTGGTTCGTGAGTTCAAGCCCCACATCAGGCTCTGTGCTGACAGCTCAGAGCCTGGAGCCTGCTTCAGATTCTGTGTCTTCCTCTCTTTCTTCCCTCCCTCATTTACACTTTGTCTCTTGCTCTCTCTCAAAAATAAGCACTAAAAACAAATATTAAAAAATAAATAAAAAGTTTTTGTCTGAACCAGACACGGCCCTTCAAAAGCAGTGTAACTGCTAGAATTTTATTTTAAAGCTAATAATTAAGAAGCAAAACCAATTTGGTACAGTAAGATAAATTTGACTGATAATCTAGGGTATCTCTTCATGGTCTCTGTGCCCTCTTTTGGATTTACTGCACCCACCACATATGTAAGCTCTCCTCCAACAGGCCACCTGTGAATGGTTTCTCCAGCAAAACTGGCTCCCAAAGTGGTCATCCAGGGGCAGAAAATAAATGAAACAAGTAGTATAAAGTTTGAAAGGAATAAAATAAGAAGTGACTCACTTTGGAAGGCTAAGGGATAGGGAGAAGGATCCTTGCTGGAAGGGCACAGACCATCCAAATAAATAATTCACTCTTTACCCATACGTTTCTTTTTTTTTTTTTTTTTTAACATTTATTCATTTTTGAGATTGAGGGAGACAGAGCATGAGCGGGGGAGGGCAGAGAGAGTGGGAGACACAGAATCAGAAGCAGGTTCCAGGCGCTGAGCTGTCAGCAAAGAGCACAATGCAGGGCTTGAACTCACAGACCGCGAGATCATGAAGTCAGACGAGCTGAATCAGACGCTTAACCGAATGAGCCACCCAGGTGCCCCATAACCCATACATTTCTGTATAACTTTGTAAATAACCACCATGTGCATGAAGTACTTACATAGATAGCTTGCTTTTTTTTTTTTTCCTCTGTTGACTAAGAGCTCACAATATATTCCTGATGAAATCTCTCCAGAACAAATCCTGTGGAACAGTGTAATGACTGTTGGCACACAAATGACTAGATTCTCTTCAAGGAAATTATTCTCATTATTGTCTCCTATTCATTTAGGCCCAGAGGACCCAATTACATTTCAGCTTTTTATGTTACTGAATTTAGACATGACACAGGTCAAGTCACTTTTTTACATAGGTCTCTTGGCAGGATAAAAGCCCTGAGAGGTGGCATTTGTGGGTTTTTAATATCAACATTAAAAAGAAAGTCAATTACATTTTCTTTATAGGTAAGGAAATAATGACTCATTTGGAGTAATTCTGAAATACAGTCTTTGCATTATTGTCAACACTGGCAAATCTTTTAAACTATGATCCTTTCTGCCATGCATTTTATGTCTTTAGAAAATACGATGCTTTTGCTGGAACTATCAAATAAGCTCAGTATGTTACCTCCAGGGGACTGCAAGATTTGAACGTACAGGAAGAAGTGTTCTAAAAGGAGGACAAAGACCTTCTCAATGACTTCTGATCACAACTCAGAAGAAGAGGGAAGGAAAAACCCCTGAAGCTTATTACTTCATTGGCATGAGGTAAAATTTTTCATGTATTTTATTTCTTTTATTTTGGGGAGGTAACTATTACTTTATTGCTTTATTTATTTTTGGCGCTAATGAGGTAACAGGCCCAGGGTTGAGAAGGTTGATAGACTGACATGTTAAAATGACTTACATGTTTGGTACAGTGGTATGAGCTTAACAGTATTTTCTCATTTAATTCTCAAAATCCATTTCATTATTTTAGCCACGTGAATTACAATAGGCTAGATTATACTGTGGTATCAAAGAGACCCAAAATCTCAGTGGCCTAATATTATAAAGGTTTATTTTTTTATTCATACCAAATTCACTATGGTGTGAGGCGACCTTCCAAGGCAATTTCTCCTTGTGGTTACTTAGCAGTCCAAGCCAAGAGAAAGGCAGGGGGAAAGTCACAGGAGACTCGGGCATGGGTTTTTAAGGTCTCAGCCTGTAAGTTACACACACTGCCTTCCCTCAGCCCAGTGGCCAGACCTGGTCACATGGTCCCACTTCACCGTAAGGAGGTGGGAAATCTAAGGAAGCAAATGGGTACAAGTTATACAGGCCTTTTTAAACTTTGCCAAGAGAACATCACAAGATGATGGGAACACTCCTCAAGCCCCCCTCTCTCTGCTAGTGACTCTGCTAGTCACTTTCACAGGAGTGACCTTAGGGGGAGACAGGCAATGGTCACTGAGTAACAGTACATAATTTTCGAATCGACACTCGACCTAGAACATATCCTTTTCTTGCCATGACAGGAAAGACCCTACCGTCTTCTTCTATGGCCCCAAGAGTCCCTGGCCTGCAACCAACATTTTAACCTCGGCCTAACCCAGCTCAGCAGGAAGCTGCCATCTGAGGCAGGGCCCAGGAGAAGTGGTGCAAGTTTGGCCGACCGTCTTCAAGACCCCTGCCTGTCACATCTCTACCCACCTCCTCCCAGCCCTACTTCACTGTAGCACACTCCACCTCCAACACCAGCTGAGGGCCTTGGGTTACCAGCTCCCTTAGTCCTGACCTACACTTAGCTTCCTGTCTCTTGGCTTGCCTTTTCCTTCTTAGTCTGTTCTCCCAGTCATCTGACCTTGGCCTCTGTGTCCAAGCCAGGTCAGCTAGCCCAACAGAACGGCAGAAGGTCTCCTGGCTGGCTCTGAGGGCAGGCGCAAGGCAGAGACCAGCAGAGGTAAACCAGCGGCAGGCATATTCACAGGCGCACCAGTTTGCAGAGTGCTGTTTCTAACATGGGAGCCTCACTGCCTACATTTCACCAGTTTGTCAAAGGGTATTTATGAACATCAACAGGAGACCACATACTGATGACTCTGTAACTGAGCCAAGATTCTCCACTTCAAAGAGTGAACTCTGAGCAAGTACAGAGGCACACATCCTCAGTTAGTGTATTAGTTCTGAGTCCAGGCAGTCAAGAAGCCTGCCAAGGCCACAAAGCAAGCAAAGGAGGGGGTCACAGGTAGCATAATGCCAGCACCCAGGAGGAGAAGAGGATGAGACAAGAATGCGAAGAGAGACACTTCCTAGCTGCTCTGACCACACTGCTTTCCCCAACGGCCCAGGGAGGAAGGACTGCTGACCGACAGTGCAGATTTAACCATCCAGTGTTTACCACGTGTCAAACACTTGTGTGCACACACGTCCACACATGGTAACAAACACATGCAAATACATGCAGCAGGCTAACCAATTCACAGAAAAGTTGGCTCTCTAGGGGGAAAAAAAGCCCTATTTGTAGCATTTGCTGATTCTGTCGTGTAAATACTTTCACTTAAATTAATCTCAAACTCACACGGTTGGTCCCTGACTGTATCTTTTCATTGTGAATGGAAAGGGTGTGTGAGTGGCAAACTCGATGAGTCTCTGTTGGTCTCCACATGTCTATCGCTCGCTTT